AGCCGTGGTTCCACAATGGAAATGTTTAAGTTAGACTTCACCCAAACTTTCCAATTTCTTTTTTTAGAGACGGAAAGGATGTGTTGCGTAAATGTTGTAAAATAAATGTGCCTGAAAATCATAAAATGGCTTAAACTAACTGGTAAGCAATACTGGCATTTCTTCCACTCTGACAAACTTTGTTGTTACCTCAGTGAAGGTCAGAAACTTAACAATATTTGTTAGCTGTAAAATGAAGAGAACAAGTTTTTTCAGTTTGGCTGGTATTTGTTTTGGTTTTTAGCAAGAAGGAAGTGATCAGGTATTAGGTGTTCCTTAGGAGTATGAGAAATTGCTCTCCCAAGTATTGCATGAAAGAGCAATTCATTTCTGTTTAATCCCTTCTCATAGGGGAGCTGTGCATATATCTGAGAAGAAAGAGACTGCTGTATTTTGCACTCACCTGGTTGTCCAGGTAATCAGTGATAGCTGAACAAATAACTGATATTTTAATATCTTTTTTTAAGTTATTTCATCCCTTCAGTGCTTTCTGGATGTAAAGGATATGTAAAGCTGGGCAAAACTTTGAGGGTATAAAAAACCCAGAAAAAGCAACACATGACTTACTACAAAACCTGCTTGCCTAATGGATACATTTTAGTGGGCAAGGTAGAAATGTAGACTATATAAGAGATACATATCAGAACGACTTGTCCACTCCATACTGTGGACAGCTGACTTGGTTTGCCACGTCACTGTGCCAGGTATTAAGCTTTCCTTTCCTTCTGGATATGTCCCTTTAACAGAAGAGGAATTCTGCAGCCCAAGTACAGTGCAGTTAAATTTTAACATATCTTCATGACTTCTAATATTTTCTTTTGAAAGTATACTTAATAGAAAGGGCTTCTTAGCAATCCTAATAAACCCTTCAGTACAAGGTGTTTTAAAAACAAGTAAGCAGTTGTTTTTTGATCAATGTAGCATGTGGGATAGTGACAAAGAATCTTTCATGGAAGGTTTTAAACCAATTTCTAATCTGTTTATTGTGTAATATCAACTGATACTCAGTTACGATTCATATCTTGCGCATTTTTCTTGCTTAACCATGTGATGAGGTACACACAGGTTTAAAACCTCTCACACAATTTTCATTTCTTTCGTTAAACTGATCCGTGCATGTGTGTGTAATACAAGCACATCAGTTTATTACCTTACAACATGAATAATTCATGATTTCATAAACCATTTTAATCAAAACAGAATCCTTGTGTGCTAAGTGATTGCAGTAAGGTTTGGTGGTCTTGCATCCAGTTTAAGCAATTGTGAGTCATGTGGAACTGGTTTAAATCTCTTCATAATTTATACAGCTCATGTCTTCTAGCTTGCACAGATCAGTTGACTAGGGTGCATGAAGTTGGGGAAAGAAGTTTGGGATATGTTGATTTTAACAATTAGGAGGGAAATTGATAATGTGCTTTGCTCACATGCAGGAGATCTTTTTAAAGTTAAAATTTTTTTATGACTTTCTCAAAAGTCTAGAATTCATGCTAATTAGCTTGCAGCTCTTCATCCCAGGTGCAGCTACTGTTCAGTGCTGAACAGGTAAAACTATAGAGCACAATCTGGTAAGAGAGGTTATGCACAGTTACAATTATTGACTGTGAAATTTTGACATGTGGTGGTCTAAGTTAAAATGGTATTTGGTTTCTGACCTCTCTAGAGCTTCTTTCAACCCCAATTCCAGCTAATGGTCTTAAAGTACTTTTTTCTCCTCAGTTACTTTGTATGAATGGATAATGTTTTTTTGTACAGTTATAAAACTTGCTTGTACTTGTGGAGCAGTAGTTGTACTTGCAGTGGAAGAAAAGGAAGGAAATGCAAGAAGTTTTAGAGTCCCTGCCAAATGCTACTTTTCCATGTGATCTGTCATAGCCACTAGTGGAAGTATGAATATAAGAAAGTTATTTGGGCTTTTTCACTATCATTGTGCTTCTGTGAGTTGGAATTTAATTACAAACCCAGAGATGAGGAAGGGGTTTTTTATGATGGAAAAGAAAGCATATTTGATGTAGCTTTGACAACTGCTACTTGTACACAAAGCAGGATTTGGTGTTGTCATTTGAAGTTGCATTGATGCACAGGAATCTTGATGGTGCTGTGAACTTTTCTCTACATAAGAAAACATTTTTCATGTTTTGTGTTCACCACTGGGACTTGTTTGCATTAAGATTACAAGTACAGCCATTAATGTAATGAACTGAACATAGCAAAAACTTTGCCAGCAACTTTGTGAGTTTAAAGGAGCTTATTTACACTTTTGGAAAAAAAAAATAATCCATAAATGCTAAATAAAGAGAGAACTTAGGCACTTAAGCTGAGAAACTGTGCATGTTGTCAGGAAAGGGAGACTGGACCTGCCAGAGGTTCTTACCCATGCATTTGTTACAGGTTGTTATCTGGGAAGGGCAAAACTGTGCACTTCCATATCTCTCTCCACTTTGTCATCACTATCTTAGCCGTTGCTAAGTGCCTCCAGGTGGTGTTTGCCTGTGTCCTGGCCACATCATCTTGGTGGCATTCAGTGCCCCTGCAGGAGTGGCCAACTGCAACTTGCTTTAGCAGCTAAAGACTAGCTTGTGGAAGTGACAGCAGTTTCCAGGGGTATCTGTGCTCCCAGTCTTCTCAGGGAGCTGATGAAAACTGTCCAGTCACTGTTGCAGTACAGACGTGATGCGAGTTTTGGCAGACCACACTGGTTTCGGAAGCAGCTTCTCTTCCTGCCAGTCTGGTATTTTGTGTTACCCTTGAATCAGTATTTTGGGCTTTCTGTGCTATGTGCTGGAAGGTCTTTTCTGTAGATGTCTCTAGTTGTCTCTATGAATTTACTGCATGCTGTAGTGGGGGTTTGAAATTAATTAAACCTCTTTGAATTACTTTTCTGTCGCACTGTCTCACTCAATCTGTCTGTCCACCTTCCTGGCCTTTTTTGTGTCCTTTGCGTCCTGCCTCCTCCTTTGTGCTCGTGCCCCCCCAGGTGAATTTGGCATTTGTATTTGTGCTTCTGTTTTAACATTGTCTGGGCTCAAAATGAGCCATGGCAAAATCTGCCTCTGACTAAACACAGTGTGAGAGCAAGGTTCTTACCTGGCTGCAGGCCAGTTTCAACTCATCTTGCTGAGGGAGTTTCTTGTTGGCTCAGGTGAAAGCTGCAAAAGGTACCTGAGAGTATTTGATCTCCTAGCTACAAAATCCACAGAGATGTTTCTTTCTCCATTATCTTGTGCTTAGATAAGCCATTATAAACTCATAACCAGAATCATAGAATAGTTTGTTTGGGTTGGAAGGAACCTTGAAGATCATCTAGTTCCAACCCCCTTGCATGGGCAGGGGCACCTCCCTCTAGACCAGGTTGCTCAAAGCCCCATCCATCCTGGTCTTGAACAGTTCCAGGGATGGGGCAGTCACAACTTTCTTGGGTAACCTGGGCCAGTGTCTCATCACCCTCACACTGAAGAATTTTGTCCTAATATCTAACCTGCCCTCTTCCAGTTTTCATCCATTATCCCTTGTCCTCTCACTACATGCCTTTTTAAAAAGTCCCTCCCCAGCTTCCCAGCTTTTCTGTAGCCCCTTCTGGTACTGGAAGGTCACTGTAAGTTCTCCCTTGAGCCTTCTCTTCTCCAGGCTGAGCAACCCCAACTCTCAGCCTGTCTTCATAGGAGAGGTGCTCCAGCCCTCTGATCATCTTTGTGGCCCATCAAAATACAAGAGATTGATGGACTCAAACTGGGTTTTCAAAAATTATTTGGGCTTGATCTGCTTCAGATCCTATTGAAACTGGTTGGGATTTGGCATGGTAAAACCCCCCAAGTGACTTGAGTTTGAAGCTGAGCTCACATCTCCCAGAGTGTTCTCCCATATTCTTTGATCTTCTGAATATACTCAAAAGTGATGGATGCCTTCACAGCGTGGCAGTGGCCTGGGCACCTTTGGCTGAGTACCTGTGGCAAATTGCCAAGATCTGGCACAGTCCCAGGCTCCTGGAATGGCAGGAGAGCAGCAGAAAAATTGCTCAGTTTCCAGCGCCTGTGGGATATTATCCTTTCTACTTTTGTTTAAAGTAATTTATGCAGTTTCCCATCTTTTCTGCCATTCTACCAAACATGCTGTGCTCTTCAGCAGACGCAATTAAAAGTCCTTTGGGGACTAATCAAGCTCAGTGACATTTCCCGCATGCTTGAAGGAAGGCAAGTGTCCTGCTGTAGAGAGTTACAAGACTTAAGTGACTGGCAAGGCTGACCATTTCTCTGTTTGGAGTGACTAGGTGAGATTCATTTGAACCTCTTCTTACGGCAGCATGATCTTACAGTGACTGAAACCATCAGTCCACCACACCACAGACGTGATGAACTGCTCAGCCATGTAACAGATAGTTATATTTAACCTAGGTCAGTTGACCACTGAAGCACTGTTTTGTCAGGGAAGCTTCACACCAGCTGATATCAGCCCCTGATCCCAAGCCTAGAAGATTTCAGCATAGTCAAATCAGCTTTACATATGAGCAATAAAATGGAGGAATTTATAGCTTTATGCGTATGCCTATGGCCATTTATTTGGCATCTCAAAATATGTATTTATTTATTTATTTATTTTCCTCAACTTCGCCTTTAATAGTTTGTTTAATTCTAGAATAGCAGACAACAAAAGCTCTGGTGCTTTTGCTGGCAAAATACTTTATTGTTGCTATGGGGATAGTCTGTGCACTGCTGCAGAGCTGGAGTGACTCCTAGCCATCTAACAGATCTGTTATACCACATTTGTCGACCCTGAGAAATTTGATGGATTTTCAGGATTTAAGGAATGTAACTTAGAGCTCTCTTCCAGGAGTACAAAACAGATTTAAGTATCATGTCTGTAACAAGTGTACTGTTTCACTTTCATTATCTCTGCTTTTTAAGAGTGAGTATCTTTCTGTAAATCAGCTGCAAATACTAACTTTGAAAAATATGTTTTGTTTTTAGCTCCCAAGAAGATGAACGGCCTATGTCACCCTTCTATGTGAGGTATTTACAAATTGTTTTAATTTCTTTTTCTGTGTAGTATTGACTTGTTATTGGAATTAAATGTGGGGAGTGATGGCAGAAATGTTGAACAGACTTACTCAAATTGAAGATTAGGCTCAGGGTTTAATGCCAGTCCTGTAAAGTCTTAATTAGAAGATGGACATTTGTTTCCTCTTTTCTTCAGTTCATTATGGAGCTTAGATGCCCATCATGAGTAGCTTATAATCTGTGGGCACAGGAGAGATTTTTGCCACAAGCTTTGAGGAACTGACAGCGTGTGCTGCTCAGAAAGAAACCAGGAACCAGATGGTGAGTCAGCAGCCCAGAGAGTAACGGCTCCTCTGCTGCAGCCCAAAAAAGCAGGAGAATGCTGGGTCCCCAGCATGCCTTCCTGGAGGGAATGGCACTTGTGCTGCATTTGAACAAACTGTTTCTTGTTTTGCCAGCTGGAGGGCAAAGTCAGTGCTTGTAAAAGTGGCCTAATTCTGTTGACATCAGTGAAAGTTTGCTGTCCTTTCTTCAGTAGCAGGCTAATTCCAGTGCTTTCATTTATACTTAGTGGAAGAACGGGAGCCAGGGCAATTAACAGTGAAGGGCTGCAGAGGAGGAAGGGCCAGATATTATAATTGGGTTCTTTGATCTCTGTGGAGTTTAAACAAATAAAAATAAATCCCTGTGGTGCTTTTCGTGAGAGTAAAGATACTTTGAATTCTTAAAGTGATTTTAAAATTTGTTAATTTTCTTGCATATAGTCCTATTTATCTTTGTAGCTTGTTTTTTTTCTTAAAGACTTCTTCTGACATAAACTACAAAAAAGTGAATTTCGTTCATACACTTAATATGGAGACTTCCATTAAAACTGCAGAAATGTGGGTCAGTGAACTGTTCATGGACTAGCCTGATTGCATGGTCTTGTCTGCCTTCCTGTTGATTTTACCATCGTTCCCTGCAGTGTATTTGTCCAGATGTTGCCTAGCCTGTGTTTCAAAAGCTCCAAACTGTCCAAGGAGGTCCTGCCTTTTCCTTTGGGAGATTATTTTGTACATACATTACTCTGTCACAGATTTTTCTGAGTTTAAATACTCATCTTGTCCTTCCATGGAAAATAGTCCCCCTCTTTCTCTTTGTTCCTGGCTAGATGTGACCTTCAAATGATTGTACACTTTCATGGCATTTCCACCTGTCTTACTGCCTAAAACTGTCCTTCCAAGCCCTTTCCTGGATCATGGAAAAGTGGCTTTGTCACAATTGTTAAGGAGATGGGGAACAAAGAGTGGACTTGAGGAAACTATCAAAGTAGGACATTTCTGAGAGGGAGGAGGCAGGTTTGGCAATTTTAAATAGAAATGTGGACATACTAGGATGGGGAACCGAGAATGAGAGTGCCTATTGGAATGAGGCAAATAAGAAGAGAAGAGTGAAGAATATACACATAGATGGGAAGTGAAGAAATGGCTAGCGGGAATCACACACCTTGAGACACAAAGGTTTATGCCAATCTTGCATCTTTTGTAACATTGCTGAAACACAATTACTTGTAAATAAATCTAACAGCTTGTAAGTCTTGCTGCTATTTATCACACATCAAAAGTGTGGATTCCTGAGGTCAGTTGACAAGTGCAGTTAGATTGGCAGGAGAGCTGGTGCTGGCTGGGCAATTCATGGTGCTTCAACAACTGAGAACTTGGGTGGGTGGCCAGTTTTTTCTGTGCAACTTTGAATGTTCTAATTGTTACCCCGTATCTCTGTACATGAGCTACGTAGGAATTGCATTTCACACCATGGAAAAGGAAGGGGAGACTGTCTGAATTAGCCTTCTGATGGTCAAATCTATTTGTATTGCTACAAGCCACACTTACATAGTTTGAAATACTGGTCAAGTAATCCTTCAAGTGAATCATGAATAGGTATATACAGAGTGATTGTTGCAGGCATTTATACAGTAGTGCCATATAGATAATTATGCAACAAATGAATTAAATGGGAACAAGAGCTCTTTAGCTTCCAAACACTGCGTAATACTTGGGTTTTGCCAGGCTGAAGGAGCATTGTGTCCCTCTGTAAACTAGTTTTTGTAGGATCAAATCAGAGACTTGATTCTTCAGTGCTGTCTCATGTCAACAAGCAATGGAGAGGTTTCCCTGGATGTTACTTCTAACAATAAAGCAAATGCTCAAGGTATTAACTTTAAGTCAGAACTGTCAGGATGCCAGCAATGCACTATTTCTTAAAATGGCACTGATTTAGGGTTGTGGATTTGTTTGGAGTTTTTTCTTTATACTTTGGGGAAGGTCATGACCAAGTATGGAACTAATCACTGCTACTCTGTGAAGGAATAAGCAGTCATTAACAACGCAAGGGTAAGTGGTAAATGAGGCAAATTGTGACATAGTTTGTCAAGAGTGGTAATACCTGTACAACCAAATTATTTTTGTAAGATTTTCCAGAGAGAGAAAGAAAAATTTTATTACCAAATCTCTCTGATGTCAGCAAAGTGCTTTGTATCATGACATCTGTATGGAGAAAATGGGCATTAGTACCAGAGCTTAAAGATGAGTAAGGAGGGAGTGAGATCTATAGGTGTTGCTGGTAGAAGAGGAAGGAGATCCTTAAGTGTCACAGACTTTTTTTCTTTAATAACCACTGGCATAGCAGAGTAGAATCATGCTCCTGAATTGAGTTTACATCAGAAATTTAGGAGGGGTGAATGAGATGGTGGTGTGTTCTGGGGAAAAATATATGACAGTAAGATAAGATGTAGAATGACCAAGATAGATATAAATATAATCATGAAATACAAGACACAGGATGAAAAATAATAACATAGGTAATACAGCCATACATCTCAGGATGAATAATGAATATCCACTACACGAAAGGGGAGTTCCTTACATTTGGAAACGCTAGGGAAGAAAATAACGTGAGCATACTTGCTTGTGGAGAGATGGAAGGGGACGCATGAGGTGCAAATGTTCAAGTTGAAGTAATCCCATGGCAGTAGATACATCAAGTATCCTCAGTATATTTAGAAGTATGGATGCCCTTATATAAGAATCAGATGAGGCCTCATACAGTTCCAGTGACTCGTGTTCAGATGACATTAGATTTGTGAAGATGATTAAAGAAATGGGCAGACCCTGTTACAAGATGGAGAAAAGAGCAAGGGAGGCTTAATTACCATAAGAACTGAACCAGAGTAAACATACTTCCTCTGGATTTTAGACAGAGGAGAAGGGTTTTTTATGTTAACTATCAATGCTTATGCAAGAGAAAATGTCTACAAACGGAATGTGAATACATTTGGCCAGAAAATCAGAAATGTTTTACTTGGACCCCTCTTTTGTTGGGCATTTCAAGGATGAGGTGGACTTGACTGTTTTGTGAGGTTTAGGGTTTGAATCCATTCACCAGCTGACCAGGGTTATCCTCTCTGTCTCTGTACTCCTTGGTAAGACAATTTGTTGACTTAGCTTTGCTCAATACCAGGCAAGAAGATTCTGCACTGTTAAAGGAAGAAAATCTTGCTGCATGATAGATGGTTCCAGGGACTAGTGCCTGAAGAACATTAACATTACAAAGCCTTTTGTAATGGAACCTTGTGGTAAAGGGAGTTGAGATTGTTAAAAAATGCATAGTGCTGCTCCTTGTATAATTCTGTGCTAAGACTGTGAATGCCAGTACTGTGAATCAGTACTGAGAAACAGTGTGCACATTCAGGTGATGAAGCAGCATCTCAGGACACCAACCAATTCTCTGCAAGCACACATCTGCTCAATGTGTACAACGAGTTTTTGGAAGACAGGGAATCTACAGATGTGCTTTGTGCTGGCATATATGCTTTAGATTTGACATCAGTCACATAGATGGTTTCAGAGGAATTACCTGTTGAGTTCATCCTGAGATGAACCAGAGTGGCATTACAGCGTCAAAAAGCAAAAGTCTTGTATGAGTATGAAGCTTCCTGGTTAACATGCAGAGCAATAAACTGAAATTGGGAAGAGAGCTGACATCACAAGCAATGCCAAAAATAGTGTTAGATCCTCTTGAATGCATAGCAAGACATTGGATGGTTTTTCTTGTTTCAGTACTTCTTTTCTCTTGAAGCACTAGTATCCTGTTGGCAGCATTCAGTCCAGCAGACTTGTTTCTCATTTTAACAGTTGTTACTTGAGACAACACTTTTTATGTAATGCAAGTCAGGTATTCTTAACCTGTAGTATATGGGGCAAGGTGTTTTACTCTGTGCTCAGGTCAATTTTCTGAAGAAACCAAAAAAGTCTTGTAGATTTGGCACCTACTTAGAAAGTTGATTGGCTGCCTTCCCACTGGGTGCTTCCTCCTGGGTGGGACATGCTGTAAGAGGTCCCAAGGCCCCAGGAGTGCACCGTTACATTATGTGATGCATGTTAATGCCCCCCGTTACATCGTCACGGGCAGAAAATAGACACCAGGCTGCTGAGTGCTCACAGCGGCATCCTGGCCACACCACAGGCCCCTGGTTTCAACCCAGAGCCCCTTTCTTTTTCCTGGGGCTTAAAAACCTTTCTATAATTAAGCATTGAACTGATTTCGATATATTTCGCAGTGTCCAGCTCCCATACAAGTATGGGGCTCCAGAGGAGCATTTCCGTTCTCTGTAAACGAACCTGCATAGATACAGCCATGCAAATTCACCAAGCTAAATCAAGTGGCATGTATGAATCACCTTCAGGGTTGTCTCTGCTCCAAGCAGTAGGTGTCAGTGTGCAGCCATGAGAAGGTGATCCCAATGCCAGTGAAAAACAGCAAGAATCCTGAAGAAACCAAGACAATTGCTTTTAGTGGGGTTAGTTTTCTGCATAATAAGAAAATAGTGTCAAAGAAGTTCAACAAGGGGAAGTGTAGAGTTCTGCATTTGGGGAAGAGAAACACCATGCACCAGTACAGGTTGGGGGCTGACCTGCTGGAGAGCAGTGTAGGAGAAAGGGACCTGGGGGTCCTGCTGGACAGGAGGATGACCA